CAGAGACATGTAGGAGGAGATGTATGAAGGCAGCAGACCAAGAAGTGATTTAAAGATGAAAATGTACCAGTGAGAGAGTCTGCGTGAAGTTAATGATGTCCAGTTAACCAATGAATACAGGGTGCAGTGGTGGGTACGATAATCACAGCCAGTTATGAATCTTAGTGCACCATGATAGACAGCATCCAACATCTGCAGGGTTCTTGTAGGAGCGTTCATGTAAATAATATCACCAAAATCAATTGAGGGAAGGAAAGTCACAGATACAAGGCGTTTTCTAGCATTCAGGGTTAGACAGGATCTGTTTCTGAAAAAGAAACCCAGTTTAATTTTCAGTTTCTTTACCAAGTTTTCCACATGGAGCTTAAAAGAAAGATGTGAGTCGACCAAGATACCCAAATATTTATAGGAATCAACAAACTCAATGGGGACACCATTTGAGGATAAAATCGGAGGAAGAACTGCTGGGACCAACTTCCTATTTGAAAAAAGCATCCCTTTGGTTTTTTCGGCATTTAGGACAAGTTTGAGGTGAAACAAATCAGTCTGGATGTAGTTAAATGCAGATTTCAAAAGCTGGAAAGCCTTAGCAACTGTTTTAGCTCGACAATAAACAACTGTGTCATCAGCATAGAAATGTATGGATGCATTAGGGATGTTTTTACCTACATTATGTATGTAGATTGTAAAGAGGGTGGGTCCTAAGACTGAGCCTTGTGGTACACCATTGTTGACTGTTAAATAACTGGAGGAAGTACCATTATGTTGAACACATTGCCTCCGGTCTGAAAGATAGTTAGAGAACCAACCAATGGTGTGATCTGAGAAACCGATTTCTGAGAGTTTATGACACAAGATGTTATGATCCACAGTGTCAAAAGCTTTAGACAGGTCTAAGAAAAGTGCAGCACAATAATCCTTAGCATCCAGTGCTTCAACAACGTCATTAAGAACCTTCAGTGAAGCAGTGGTTGTGCTGTGTTGTTTCCTGAAACCAGATTGATGTGGAGGTAAGATGTTAAATGAGTCCAGGTAATTTTTGATTTGAGAGTTTATCAGTTTTTCTAGAACCTTGGCTAAAATGCAGAGTTTAGAGATTGGTCGATAGTTGTTCAGTGAGGTGGGGTCACCTCCCTTCAGCAAAGGAAGAACAAAGGCTGTTTTCCAAGTGTCTGGGATGGAGTTTTGTCTTATGGAGAGATTGAAGATGTGGGTCACAGGGACTGTGATGATATGAGCAGCCAGCCTTAAGAAATAAGGTGGAAGTTCATCTGGACCTGCAGATTTTTTAGGATCAAGCTCTTTTAACAGTTTGTTGACCTCACTGACTGAGAATGGAGAAAAAGAGAAGGTGTGATTAACTGAGGATTGACTTGTAGGAGGGATTTGATTTGTAGAAGTTTGGTTATTAAGTGAAGTGGCTGATTTTCCATTAGTTACTGTGTCAAATAAAGAACCAGAAGCAACAAAATGTTTGTTGAGACAGTTCAGGATCTCGCGCTTATTTGACACAGGAGCAGAGTTAACGAGAAGTTGTGATGGGAGGTCAGATGATTGGGGGGTGCCTGAGAGAGATTTAATTGTTTTCCAGAATCTGTTAGGGTCATTTAGATTTTTGGAAGTCTGAGATAAGAAATAGTTTCGTTTTGCTGCTTTGACAGCAGTTGTACATTTATTCCTCATCTGTCGAAAACTCAACCAATCAGTGTCTGAGTCAGATTTTCTCGCTGCGGCCCAAAGATGATCTCTCCTGTGCAGGAGGTCAGCTAGCTCTGGAGTAAACCAGGGGCTGTCTCGTCCCTTTATTCTGAACTGACGAAAAGGAGCATGTAAGTTCAGGAAATAAATGAAATTATTATGGAAATAGTTCCAAGCAGAGTTCACGTCATCAGTTAACAGAATACGATGCCAGTCAAAGTGAGACAGATCCCAGAGGAATGACTGTTCACAGAAATGTTTCAGATCCCTTTTTTTAATTAATCTGGGCTTAGAAGGTGGAAGTTTACTATTTCTTAAAGCCGCTGTCACACAATGATCACTCAAAAGATCAGCAAATACACCTGTACCAGGGAATTTGTGAGGCATATTAGTTAAAAACAGGTCTAAGATGGAGGAATTGTCAGGATGGCTTTTATTTAATCTGGTGGGGGAGTCGATCAGTTGGGTTAAATTAAAAGACAAGCAACATTCCTTGAATTTGTCACAGAGGGGGGTCGACTTACACCAATCAATGTTGAGATCTCCAGCTAAAAAGATCTCTGTGAATTTTAAATTACCAAGGAATTCCTTAATGGCATTTAATGCTTCAGGTGAAGCTGTGGGGGGGCGGTAGCAGCAGACTACAGTTAAAACCTGGCCTCCATTCAAGGTGATGTTTACAGATAAGGCTTCAAACTGGTTTGGAATTGTTTTGAAAGTCACAAGACTTGAAACCAGGGTATCTCTAATGTAAATAATGACTCCACCCCCCCTTTTTTGACGATCACAGCGGTAGATGTTAAATCCATTGATTAACCCTCCTGCTGCCCCTGAGTTGAAATGAAACACATTTTACCCGAGGGCAGCAGGAGGGTTAATACTTTAAAATGATCCAAAAAAGTTAAATCAGGTCATCTGGACCGATTCTAAACTTTTTTAGATTTATTTACCTGGAGGATTGAGCTTGCATCAGGACAATGTGAAACTGACTAAGCTTCCTGTATTTACCCTAGATGTCACTATTGAGTTACAGTACCTGTTTTGCCATTAAAAACAATACTTTAATTATTATATTTCTATAATTGTTGTAGGGTCTCTATAAGATATACAACTGATAGTGTCAA